GAAGTTGCTGTTGCCCTTGCTTCGGCTGACTGCTGCCGCTGTGTGATGCGTACATGAGTGATCGAGCCGCAGTCCCCCATGCTCTGGTGACTTTGTGTCTGAAGTAGGCCGCTCAGCCTGCGGGGTTGGTCCTGGCCTAGGACCCATTTCCCAAGATCCTCATGAAAGCAAGACAACCTCCGGGAAAAATAGGAAGCAATCTCCAAAATCCATGCGTCAATGGCAAAGCAGAAGGACGGGTTGGCTCAGGCCGTTGGACTTCCAGTTGGCAGAGGTGACGGGTTTATGCTTCAGGGCTTTCTAGAAGCAAAGCTTCTACGTTGCAGAAGCTGTGCAACAAATAAGGCTTTCTCAGCGTCATTCAGTGTGTGAGATGAGGTGAAGGCAGAACGCATCTCAAGAGAAAAGTCGCAGAACGTGGCAGAGGAGCTTGCTGGGCCCCTATTTCCGAGCTTGAGGAATGCCTGCAAGTCCACCGCAGCCCTGCATTTCTCCATTCTTGCCAGCTCCTCACTGCAGGTTTCAGTAATGCGCGGGCCTAACTTACCAGGTTGGCAGCTTAGAGCACTGTCATGCGCTTCACAGTAAACTCCTGAGAGCTTTGCCAGGTCGGACCTTCAAAGGTGGTTTTCTGACCGCACCACATCTTGGAACGCCTTCGCGGCTGATTGTGTTGGAGGAAGTACGGGGGGGGGCTCAGGGACCCGGGGCACATAGATCCCAGCAGGGGTCGTACGGGAATCCCTACGCCCTCAACCCTAAACCCCCTAAGCCCTAAACCCTTGAAACCCTAAGCCCTAAACCCTTGAAACCCTAAACCCTAAACCCTTGAAACCCTAAACCCTAGACCTTTAGATCTTTAGGTGCTGTCCTCTTGCGACGCAAGCTTGGCGCAAGGGATGAAGATGTCCCGGGCCCACATGGCATCTTTAAGAGGGGTTCAGGCCTTAGAGAAAAGGTCCGATAAAAAGCCTTAAGCCCGAAACCCCTAACCCCCCTGTACCTGCTAAACTCCCTAAACCCCCCTCAACCCAAAAGCCTAGAGCTTATGGTTGCTATGGTGTTGAGTGTGTCCAGGATCCACCTGCCGGCGTGGAGGCGCTCTCCGAGACCGAGCGGGTGGTGCTCTCAGCACTTCTCCTAGTGCCTAGGGTTGGGTTTAATTCGGGGTTTAGGGTTTGGGGTTTAGGGTTTGGGGTTTAGGGTTTGGGGTTTAGGGTTTGGGGTTTAGATTTTCGGGTTGAGGGGATTAGGGTTTTGGGGGTTTATTGTTCCGGAATTTAGGATTTACAGGGCTTGGGGTGTGGGGCTTAGGGTTTAGGGTTCAAAGGGGTTTGGGGTGTAGGTCCCTGTGGTAGCTGCTAGATGTGCTTCATTCATGGGATCTATGGAAAAACCCTAAACCCAAAATAGATGCGATCTCCAGCAAGCCCTACACCCCATACATCAAGCTTTTCCAAAACTGTGTCTGCCAAAACTGTTCGCGAAGCTCAGCCGAAAGGGCAGAATCAGTTCGTATTCCACACAGTTTCGGGTTAGGGGTTGAAGCGCATGCTGAAGTAGTACTGACGCATAGTGAGGTAATGAAGAGCGTGTCGGCAGAATCTTCAGAGGTTCGTATGATCTACACTCAGCCTAAGTCCAAAACCCCGTTGCATGCTACCAAGGCATCGTTGAGGAAGAATGCGGAGAGAGAAAGGGAGAGAGTTTCAAAGCTGCAGATGAGCCTAAAAGGCAGTGTCACAGCCGTTTCGAGTAGCGGAGAAGCTATTGGACAGTGCTGCATTGGCGGATCATGCCATCCTAACGTATTTTGATAATTGAAGCCCGGGGCTGGCAGGGCTTGGACCTTGTACGCGGTTTAGGGAAGCAAGGAGAAAATGTGAGGGTTGAAAGGAATGGAAAGCAAGGGTTTGGGCTATGGACAAGAAAATGGAAACTACACAATGTTTTTGGATTACAAAGAAATTAATAACTATAGGATGTCAGTTGCTGCATACGTGCCATTGCGCCTTGTGAGTTCAGGGTTTTGGGTTGCTGGCTGTACTCTCCAGTAATCTTTCTTTTCATGGAGCTGTCTAGACTTCCATTGTGGAAAGTGGTGCAGACATCAATATGGAGCTTCCAAACCGTTTCGAGCAACTAGCAATTCGCCACCGAAGGATCCGGTATTGGGTGAGTACAAGAATTGAATTGACTCAGAAAGCTGTGAGAGGAGGAAGAAGAAGACTGAGAAGAAGAGAGACAGTGGAGGGGTGAATGCCATGTCATCAATCTCAAAGCAGCATGTCGTTTCACAGGGTAAGCCTACTCCACCATGATCCCCCCCGACCCTCAAAATGTTGCAGATAGCTGCCAAATCAAGTATTCTTAGTATAAGGTTAGTGATGCATTTTCAGGACTGAGAGTCCTGGAATGTTAGCAACCTGGAATGTTTGCGGTCTGGACGTTCTTTTGCACAGCAGGATTGTGACATGTCGTGACCTGTGAACTTTTTTTGAAAGGTGGAGCAAGGGCGGGAGGAACCCTTCAGCTGCAAGGCCACAAGTTTGGGAAAGTACACAGCATGTGCTAGCAAGATGAGGCAGAAAATTCGACTTTGCTCAGAGGCTGTGTTCAACCCCCAGTGGCGACCGGTGTCCAATGTGACATCCGTGTACTGGGAGAGAGATCCCAGCATCCCAGGCTGTGAAGAGGGACACAAGTGAGTCGTGCTGTTTTACCGGGTTACACAAGCCCCCAATAAATGGTGATTTCTCAAAATAGGGGGACCCCAATATAGACCCTAAAATCGGGCAACGCCCTCGGG